AAACCCCCATTTAAAAATACAAAATTGCTCCACGAGTGTTTTTTAAATGTATGCTGAGTGATAAATGATTACAACTTGAGGGAAAGTGAGCACTGATACCAACATCTGAAGACACGCTGTAACAAGGTGTACAGTACTTATCCCCTCAGACAGCTCTACTGATCTGGTGCCAAGCTATTGATCACAGTCAGAGCCTGGTATGAGTCCTTTGATGCTTCTTTACTCATCATGTTTCACATTCCCCTTTGAAATGAAGCAAAATTGAACCCTTCTGTGTTTACCCTCTGGTACATTTTGTTTACCCCTCATAAACAATCACTATTGCTTCAAAAATGCAGCTAACACATTCAGCTCATACTGGTCTTTTCATGACCTGTTGGTAAGGTTTATATATTTGGGAGTCCAGTCGGAGTCAGAGGGGATACCGCATTCTTTTAAGATTAAACTAGGAAGGGGAAAAACCTTCCCTTTTCGTCGGTGTGAGGCAGAACAGATAAGGCCTTGTGTAGGTGCTATGGTCGCCCTCTCACTCACATCATTACAGGCTGAACCCAAACATCCAGGAGGGTCGACACTCCACATTTCCCCCTTATAGAAACACAGAGCATGGTCGTGAAGCAGAAATGCAGGAAAGCGGGAGAACAGTGCTGTTCAGGTTTCTTCTGGTTTGAGTTTGCTTAGAAGTCATCTTCTGACCAAAATACCTAAAATCAAACCAGAATGCCTGAATGGAAGAGAGAAAGGACAGGACATAAAATAAAGGGTGAAAGAGCTATATGAGTCTGGGTTATAATACTGGTGTTCTGTTTCATTAGAGTGAACCAGTTCCAAGATAGACCAATTTTCAAAGTGCTAGGTGGTTACTTCCTCTCTGAGGGCTTATATCGGATAACGGTAATTCGCCCAGCGTGATACAATTGAAGTGGATGAAGGGCTGCAGGATCTGGTTAAGTGTGAAAATACCAGCGCTGCATTAAAAGCTTCACGAGCTACTGCAGTGGAATTAAACTACCTGGTTATTATAGTGTATTTAAATAAACATAGCTATTCATAGCATGACTGTGTGGAACCATCCAAAAAATACACATAAATTTGACTTGAGTAAACATTGCAAAGATATTACATATTTGCATTGATTTATGAGAAAACGGAGCTCGACTAAAATAGCAGAAATGTTAGCACTCAGCGTTCAACAAATAGGCTCCTTCATGATTGGTTTTGCATCTTTTATCAACACATTAAACAGGAAGAACTCTATAGTAAGCACAGGAGTTGTATTACAATAATGCAATTAGCCCCACAGCTACCTCATATGAGGATAATACACAGAGCCTGTATTCTCCTTTTGTTGAGGTAGTCTCTATATTACAAGAGAGTGTAATCTCACCTTCCTTGCATGTTTCAATTACTTCATACTGCTTAATTTGGAAGGAGGAAAAGCAGATGTTGTGCATAAATCAGTAGCTCAGAGTCGTCTGCCAGTTGACACTACAGGACAAGTCCGTCTCACTCAGGGTTTCTTTTCCTTTCTGTAAAACTCTACGGTCATTTTGATGGATTCACTGATTGAATTTGTATTTTTCTAAAATCACTATTTCAGAAATAGTGGTTCCAAATACAAACTAGGATGATGCAAATACCTTTCCAAATGAAGAGGGAAAAACTTTCTCCACAACTTTCAGAGAGAAAGGCGCATTACAGGCCATTTATATCAGGGGTCCCATGACATTCTCACTTAGACCTTAATAACTGCCTGCAGCTTATTTAAAGTCATAATCAACCTATCATTCATTGGTAGGACATTTGGGTGAGAATACAGACCTTATTAATCTATCTTTGATTAAACACCGATCACATTAATACGTTGCACCTCCCTGATTCACCTCAGGAGCCATTTAGACTAATGTGAACCTCCAGCACTAATAAGTCCTAATAACTGGCAAAGCTCACAGACACACACAGCACCACTTTACTCCATCAGTATAACTCTGCTAGGATTAAATAGCATGTTTGCCTCAGAGGTACAATTAAGCATTGCTAAATAGAGCTCCTTAGAGCCTGGAGGGAAGCGTCTGCTCTGCACAGAAGCAGCCAGTGAAGCGCTCAGATTTTGCCCCCCACCCCCGGCTTTTTCAAATTACCTATTGATGAGTGGGCTTCGCGGAGGGGAGGATGTCTGGTTCACTTTTAAGATGTCTCCAAGATCCAGGCTTGTGGTAAGATCTAAGGCAACACTTAGGCAACAGAAGCTGCCTTTCTCAAATACATATACGGTTTCCCTGCAAATTATCTGAGATTTTCTTTGGGGAGAGTTTTCCGCTCTGAGTCTTCAGATATTTACCCACATCGTCCCACTTTACTTTTGACCGTGCTGATTTGGGATTATCTGTGTAAGCTCTGTTTTTTCAACAGAGTGACTGCACAACTTTACCGAATGATAATTGCTCCCATGACTTAATTGTCTATATGTAATTAAGTATGTAATAGAGAAACTAGGCACTTAAATGCTCCCCAGAGAGGCACAGTGGTTGAGTGGGTGCCACACATGTTGAAGATTATTTTGGCCTCCCCATCGGATCTGCCAGTATGAGGAGTTACAAAAAATATATTTGAACCAATTAAGTGAAAAGCGCTTGATGTAAATGCCAAGACAAATTTTAATGAGCCCCCTTTTCTGGATTTGGAATAGTCAGCTCAGTTTATCACTGGGCATGTGCACTCAGTCTAATTTTAAAAATGTCCTTAAATATAACTCTACAGACGAGATGAGTAATGTGGCTTTCTAACTAACAAAACAATATTTTGCAACTTCTGTTCTCAGCTGACGCTGGACAAAATGATCCAGGAGAAACATGGGAGCAGGAGGACGTGAAGAAAAATATATAAAATCAACAGAAAGGCGAGACTTGAGCTCAGTTATTGCATGTTTTTATCCACAAAGCAGAGTAGGTTGTGAGGAATGGGTGAGAAATAAATCAAGATTACCTGATATAAATGTAAGCATTTAAATCTAAAATCTATGTGATTAAAAAAATATTTAATTTCACATTAATAAACACTGAAAATCAAACTCAACTTCTGACTTTGATCCTCACTTTTTCTGATCAAAACTAAAATATTCAAGGTGCCAATTCAAATTTTTGCCAGTGTGGATACAGTGTAGTACACTGCATTTACAGTATTTGTTTTAAATTACAAATACAGCAGAAATTGCTGGTGGTCTTGCAAAATCACATTGCGCTGTCAAGGGGGACTTTTTGTGGTCGTACTGACAGATTTACTGCCCAGATGTTCGTAAACACGAACGACATCAGCGAACCGTAGCACAGTATCAATCAACAATATTTAAAATGACAATCTATCAGTGATGATCTTCCCTCTGTCTCTCCACCTGAACATCTGCACACATCTGCTCCTCTCTCTCTCCCTCTGCCTGTACTACAGCATGCTTTCAATTTCCTGCAGCGCTGCTCCTCTCTTCTCCCGCTCTCCAACCCCAGAGACACGCCGAGAGGTCAGGGGGTTAACGTGGTAATAGGTGGTGGTGATTGGTAGAGGACGCTCACTCTCTCCCGGCTTTCAGAGCGTATTAGGAGCCAAGCTACTTCTGTGTGGAGCAGGAGCTCAGAACAGCTGTGTCTGACCACGGAACGACTTCTTAAAAACATCTTTTAAACATTTGATTTGGAAAGAGGACCAGAGACTATGGACCGGGTGTAGGGGCGGTGAGGGGGGGAGTCTATTAAACCAAGTCTGTCTATTTCTTGTGTTGCAAGGGAATGACAGTGTTTGTTTAAATTTGAAAATTCATCTGGTAAACCTAAAACATAATTTATTTTGCTGATTAAATTAGATTGTGTAAAGAAACTGCCACAATACAGTACGGCAAACCCAAAACAGTGGCCGCAAACTGGAGCTTGAACTGTAAGTTGACCTTCACATGGAACTGAAAATCATAAAGTTGACACTGCTACTGTTCACAGCTCTTGAGTCCATTGTGGTCTTATAGATTCCTCTAGATCCCCAATGGCCGCCAGCGAGGGTGAAGGGTAAATAAATATGAAGACTAAATTAAATTGAAAAGTGTAACTTTGCAGTTCTTTGAAATTTTGGAATATTTTTTATTGGCAGACATGTTTCAAAAGGGGTTTTGCTACGTGTACATACAAAGCAGGAGTTTATCACTTAAAAAAAAATCTATAGTTTCTCATTTTAGTTACTTGCAGAGAAGCAATAAGTCAAGATGAAGTGATATTTAGGAGTGTAAACAGATTATTTATGCTTGAATTATGAATTCATTCTATGGGAGTCGATATGGAGCAACGTCTTGTTTATGTTTGTCAATTTAGTGCTCTCTGGAGGCTGCACAAACTGACACTGATTAATTAATGGCAGCAGCACGTCTGAATTTCAGGAAGCCATTACAGACCTTTCTTGGCAAACAAATCAATACTTCTTCACTACGCACAACAGAGACACCCAGCACACACAGTTCAGTGATCCCCACATCTTGTTTCAATGCTCAAACGTAAACTCTTTTGTGCGGCGTCTGTTTACGTTCGTCAAAACTATCACCCATGCTTTTGTTTTATGTTACACAATGGCATTGCTTTGTAAATCTAAGGGTGTGTTGCACAAACATGTCATCTCCCTCTTTCAGAAATATTTATAAACAGCATGTAGAGTAAATACTGGATTCTCTAAATGCAGAGAGTTTTTTTTTTTTTCATTTTTTTGTAATTGCGCTCCAGAAAAAAATCTTGATGATAGCTGAGTCTGTCTTCCACCACAATAGCTTTGACCTTGATAGCAAAGTCCTCAGTGACCTCAGCTGATCTCTGCTCATCTGGACCCCAACTCCATTCAGTCACATCCAATATCCTTAACCCCTTCTCCCAGACCTCTTCATTGGTTTATCCAAACCTCAACACCTGACCCTAAGTGATCCGACCCCCTAATCCAACTCCAGACACAACAGAGACCAACAAGGCAGTACTCACCCCAGAAGAAGTTTTGTTGACATGGTGTCACTGTGCTGAAAAGACTGTTAGATGCCATAGCTGCCCCTGGTAGCAGCAAGTCCCAAGTTGGTTCCTCTGTGGTTTCCGTGACCCTTGACACGTCCTAAACCAAGAGTACGCAGCATGTCATGAAGAAAAAAAATGGAAAAGCCATCCACAAGACATGCTTTACGTATCAACTATTTGGATGACCACAAGTAACAACCAGGTCTGGTTTTATAGAGAAAAAAAAACTGCAGAGGCAAATATCGCCTTTGCGGATAGATCAGATGGTGCCGGACTTGCTTGCTTGGCGAATGTGGTTGGAACGTACTTACTCGCTTAGCGCCGTCCTTGTGACTGGTGTTGGCCTGCGAAGATTAACCATTTACACTCCAGGCTGCCCTCAAACACCAACCCCGAGCCGCACGTCTGTGGTTCTGTGGTTGTTTGGGAGGCAAGCAGAGCCCTCACACAACCCAAAAGGCACCAGCTTTAAAACTCGTCTCTTTCCTGCCCTCCATGTGCTGTCACTGGAGAACCTGGGTCACATGCCCTCTGACGTCATCACAGCACAGCGGTTGAGGGGACAGCCTACCGTTGTGGCTTTCCTCCCTCTGCTCTCCTCTCCTATGCCTGGACTTTTTTCCTCTGCTCTCTGGCTCCCCTCCTTCTCTCTCAAGTGTGGTTCGGCAGCGTTTTCAGGCTCTCTAGGGGATCAGGGTCTGACGCTCCCATGAGTCAGGAAGCTTCAGTGGGGGCAGCTTGTTCAACCGCCCATGTCTCCTCAGCATATGGGGAACAGCGCTCTCTCTGCTTTGCTCTCTCTTCGCCCCCCCACCCCCACCCCCTGGGTGTGTATGTGTATGTCTGAGCATGTGTGTTTGTCTGTGTATGCACTTACAGGAACGAGAAGCAGAACGGCTGGATGAGTGTGTGAAGAGTGGAGCTGGTGTGAGGAATACGTCTGCAGAGCTGCTTCACTGCGACTTTTTGCTGCCTGCTGATTGTTTCTCTTTCTCCTGTTTCACACTCTGTAGGCTGTCACAGGCAGTACTCCTGTTATTGGGTTCTTACTGTGACAACTGTGAGTGTGTACACGTGCATGTGCACATGTAATGCCAGCCTGTGCTGATCTTTAATTGGCTCTCACAGGAGCGAGGGAGGCGGGGGCGATTCCTCTAAGAGGCCGTAAATCACAGCCACCTGTCTTCACTGTGAAAGAGATGCCTTCTCACTGTCGCACTAACACTCAGAGACACACACAGTAACACAGGCAACCTGCCAACATATAGTGTAGCACAGGCAACTCATAACAATCAAGGATGAATCATCACACTCCACACACACATAGGCATTTAGTACACACCCTCGCAGTTCCTGGCACAGTGTCACGGCTTGTCTTTGATCACCGATCACAGGTGTTTATTACGACAGATCAAAAACACAGGAGGGGTGTTAGTGAAGAAGAGGAGGAATGTGTGGAATGAAGCTGGGAGTTCACTCGGGAGCTAAAGTGTTAAAGAGCCTCAGCTTTCTGTCACCGGCCAGTGGGCAAGCGTGACTAAGCAGTGCCTCGGGCTCCTTTCCTATAATGTGTTAAAGCCAGATGAAACTTTCTATGTGTTAATCAGTAATTTATATAAAACTGTCAGTGTTGTTCAGTGCTGTGATTTAAAGCGGTGGTCCATCCAAATTACAAAAACCTTTTTCTCTTGTTCCTCTGATGGTGTTTAGCCATGTAGATAGATGTTCCCTGGGTCTTGAGATCATCTTCTCTGATATTTGCACCTCAACCAAAATACAACGTTCACACCAGTGAAATTACACAACAAAACTGCAAAAGAAAAAATAAGAAACAATGTCCCAGTCACTATGAATAATAATGAAAGACAGACCTCACCCTGAGCGGTTTCCATTGGAACTACTTTCTACGAAAGAAAATTCCCAGCAAAAACTATTTCTGTGTTTTGTGGGTACATGTTGCTGTTACTTTTTTTTTTTGAGCACCACAAACAAACTTGGTTTTACATCTGTTGTTTTGGGGTGGCAGCAGACACGTATCACAAAACCTGGCGAATAAAGCCAAAAGATCCCACGAGAACTGAGTAAGAAAATATGTTTTTTGGAATTCATTTGAACTGTGAAAAAGTCAACTTACATAATAAAAACAGTATAATCCCATAATTTGGGTGTATATTTGCACATACATTTCTAAAAGTAAAAGTTTCAGTAATATAAACATATTTAAGCAGCCAGTACATTTAAAATAATCCGGAAAAGCACTGTACTGTACATCCTAGCCTTGAGATAACACAAAATCAATGTACATACTGTAAATGGTTTTTAGATTTTATTACATTAAATTGATGTGATGTCAGTCAACAAGTAAGTATCTGTAAATTGTGTTTGTGCCTATGACGTTTATCCTAAAGTAATAATAAAAACATTTGTCTGGAATATTAAGTAAGTACAAAGTAAAATACTAAGTAAATACTACAACCAGCAATGGGCTCTTAACACTGATTACCTTAATATAGGGTTAGAAAAATAGTGAATAGAAAGGTCAAGTATGAAATAAAACCAATCCTCACCATTTCCACAAGTCTTTGCCTCCTACCTTATTTTTGCGCAGTGAAACATTTTCCTTGGCTCGGGGTTTTGTAAATATTTGCTGTCTAAAACAAGAACATGCCGCTGGAGTCGTAGCGCATATTACAGAATCCTCAGGGAAGAGCTATTCAAACACTGCAAACACACTGAATATCATAGATGGTCCACAGTGAAGCAAAGACAGTAGGGTAGAGACGTAATCGATCGTGTCATGCGTGCAGTTTACCTTCATGCTAAATATACTACTCCAACTATTCAACAATAGTTTTCCTTAACAATTTAGAGTGTATATGTTTTGGACTGGCATGCTATACATAAAGATGAGGTTGGTACTTGATACTGAAGCATTTCAAGAATAATATTTAAGGTCATATATAAGTTTTTTTTTTTTAAAGATGGCTGCAAATGGAGCTTTGCTGTCAAATGCATTAAACTTTAGGACAGAGAGCAGCAATGTTGTGAGTTCCACTGAGCCACGGTAAATTATATGCAGTTTGATGGGAATATAATTTGCCCAACGTGATTGAATCTAAAACATGGAATGAAAAATAAGCATAAATGTCAAAACCCTACTCATACAGCAGGAAACAAATCTTCTTGGGTGGCATGGCATGTGATAAACAACCCTGATGGTGAAAATCTGAACCGTGATGATGTTGTAGTCTCAGATATCATTGCATAAATTCTTTAAGAGCTGCAAAGACTGTAACTACAAAAAAAATGGCTGTTTCTCCCTGATACAGTAACAAAGTTTAGTGACAGCTGGCCAAATACTGTCTGCCCAGTTCTCTGTCATCAGGTTGCCCACTGTAAAAAGACTACAACAAACCTTTGTCAGTACTGAAACCACAACTGCTGCTCTTGTCTACAAGCAAGTCTAAAGATCCCAGATCTAATCCTGTAAGCAATGCAAATTAAAGGGTCAAATGTTGTTTTTATAAAAATATGTTCAGTTAAAAGGGTATTTATTGAATTTATTCTGGCCTGATTGGAAGGACTTTAGCAATTATATTGAGAGGGGAGCCAGCTGTGATGCTATCGGGAGTTAACATGAAACAGAGTCAACAAATCTATACTATATATATGCACCGCATATAAAAAGAGGAGAGAGTACAACTACAAAAAAATATAAGCTCCAGGGTGTCCTCATTTTGCTGTAGAGACCATTTTGTAACATATGTACTCAAAAATGGTTTAATCTGACAGTAATAATGTTAAAGGCTGGAATATGATGTGAATATAGTATTTCATTCAATACTGGGTCTCCACTGGTGGCCACATGCTACACTTGCTATAGGTGTGTGTATATGTGTGTGTGTGTGTGCAAAGCTGAAGTGCTTGGCCGTACTGTGCGCTCTAGCCAAGGTCTGGCCTGAGGACTGTGGTAGATGGCCCACCCTGGCAGACATGTTCTCTCTCCTACCACTCAGGACCACACACCTTCAGATGGACTCACTTTGTTATCACAGGCTCTCATAGAAACATAATAGCTGTATCATGTATTGAAACATGCTTAAAATTACACGCCATTAGCCCAGCATGTGTAATGTGATGTTGCTGGATAAGGCAGACTTTCTTCACAATGTCACAGCAGATGAACTTCAGAGTGGACTGTTTTCATAGAAAATTATTTCTTGCAACAGAGTATTTCTGGAAAAATATTGGGGTATAATGATGCCTCAGATGAGTTAAAATTAACTCTGACTGAGGCTGTCTGTATTTGTCTCTCTGCAAAAGCTAAAAATGATGTGACATAATTAGCTCTCAGCAGACATTACACACGTGGAGGTATTGCAGTATTAGAAAAGGAAGGGCTTATTAATAGCACGTTTGGCTCATGCTGTGTACTCTCCCTGGCGGGGCATCAGAAGGGCCGGGGCAAACAGGCAGGTACAGTGATTCACTTTAACAGGCGACATCTGTAAAATGCCAAGGTAGTTTACACTGCGGCCGAGCCCAAATTAACATGCTTTCATTGGAAACAAACACCATTTGCAATCAGCTTCTGTTGGCTGCCGATGTGAACGTAAATATCTCCTTTAAGTGCTTGCTGAGGCGACACGCTGACCTGGAGCCTTGGAATCAAGTAAGAGTCATGGAGAAGTTCACTTCAGTATGGTCCAAAACTTGTGAAAGTGCAGGAACTTAATCTACGATGGAGTGTCGCCAGGAAGATGTTGATGTTCTCAGTGAATTGTTTGGTAAGGTACTGTATGGTGTAATCTTAATGAAAAGTAGATATTTTTCTTCTGGAGTCCACCAGTGGTATCTACATCTTCCAGTGACTTAAGGCCCTTTCTTGTGGTGTCTGGACAGCTGTTTTTGGAGTCACAGCTTTGAGGGAAAATAAAGTCGGCCTTTAAGCAATAAGGGGAAATGTTTAATATCGAATGGCGCATGCACAAACTAAACATACATTAAAAATAACTCTTGGAGTTGTGATTGCATAAAATTGCAAAAAGGGAAAAGTCAGATCATTGGTGGAGGCTGCGATGAGGAGGCTGCGGCTGACCACCGAGAGACTGAGCCATTTCTTTTTTCCTCCATCTCTCATTTTAATCAAGGGCCCGTTCCAGGATCAACAGTGCCTACCTACACTGCAGTTCAAACAGAAAGGCCCGCTGAGACCTAAGCGATGATTTCTAAATGTTCACTGACAAGTTGGTTTAATTTGTGTGCTAAGTAGATGGAGGTGGACTTATATATATATATCTTCCTTACTTGGCATACATACCACTCTCCTGCTATTTCTCCACCTCAGTGAAACTTTATGCTACTTCTCTGTATAAAAAGCTGATTGGTCCTCCACAGTCCCATGCCATGCTGTGTTACAGGTGAGGACAGGTCCAGCCGCTAGGACCTGAGACAAGACTTACAGCATCTACTTCAAACCAAACACTCCCCGATCATGATGAAGGACCTCAGTGATGTTGCTGCTTCTGCTCTATAGCTGCAGTCACTGGAAACCCTGTGATTGTGTGGTCAGTTGTCAACAGCTGTACAGGCTGATGTTGACAAAGTTCAACTGGCTGAACTGCTAAGTCAGTATTATAATTACTTCATACTGATGATACAACTCAACTACAAGGCTCAGAGTCACATGACCCCCTAGTCACATGATGCCGTCACTCTAGGCAAATGTCAGTAACAAAAATGACTGTGTGTCATGCATACAGCCAATGTGAGGAGGAATAAGTTAACTCTGCTCTGGCCATGACTCAAACC